AACAAACAGCCTGATAGCTGAAGGAATAAAAGAGTTCATAAAGAAAATATATATTGTATATACAGGGCTTTAAATTAACTTTTTTTTATCACCAGCCAACATGGCTAGTAGATTTTTAAAGTTGCCAGCAAACCAGATTTCCCACCAGCCGAAATTTACGAGCCACTCACGACCTGACAGCCATTTAGAATTGAAAGTCCTCGTTTTCTTCTTCCTCCTTAATCTTCATTGTCCCATGTGTCTGCAGCAGCAGCCTTCCTTTTTTTTTTTTTGCTCTTCTGGTTTTTTAACTCCTGACAAACACTCAAACGTCCCATCATGTCTTTCCACATTTCCTTTTCAGATTATCAACGTGGATTGGGTCCATGTGGAAAGTAGAGCAAACGACATCGTCAAGTCTGACAAAGGGGTTCAGCTCGTACTGGGACAACTTGTCGATAAGTGAGTGACACTGTAACCACATCAGTGTAACCCAGTAAGACACAGGCCTTCATATATTTAGCTGTTCATGCTGTTATATAGTCAGACATTACATAGAGAATATAGAAATGTGAAAGTTGACGTCTGTGTATCTATAGACATAGAATTACTTTATTGATCCCAAACTGGGAAGTTGTGGTGTTACAGCAGCAGGTTAACAGATCAAATAAAACAATATAAGAATAAGTATAAGGTAGTAATCACTAAAAATACAAAATAAGTACTAAGAATATAAAAAAAAAAAAAAAAATGAGAATAAGAATAAGAAGAAATATATACATCAATGATTTGACTTAACATTACTTCTAGTCTAAATATGAAAAATTCAGAGCTGTGCAATCACTGATATGTGTGTTAAAGTGTAAGAGTGTAGACATGTTAACAGCTGAAACTGTGAACTAAAATGACGACCGGGCAGACAAATTAATTTAACTTAAGTGTAAGAGTAATGTGTAAACTTTTACAATTTACATAATACGCAGAGTAGATTAGAAAATGAAAAGACGGAGATGATCATGATGACAGTTCTCTGCTCGCTAAAGGTGAGCTGTTGTAGAGGGTTATGGTCTTTGGTATGAATGTCTATATGTATTCGCTATGATGCTTTTCTATTATGTCAACTGGATTCTGAAAAATATGTACATTTAAAAAAAGGTCATTCAGAGTGAGTGCTGAGTTTTCCATGCTTGGTTAACCTGTTGATAATGTGTTGATGGTTGCAGTACGTACCTGGACCGGCTGGCTGAGGAGGTGAACGACAAACTGCAGGAGGCCGGTCTGATCAGTATATCAGAGCTGTGTAAGAGCTATGACCTCCCCGGAGACTTCTTATCCGAGGTGAGCGACTCTGCACCCTCATTCAGTACCAGCATGTGTTCATCTCTCACGTCAAAATGTGTCATATTTGTATTTGGACGGTCGTCTTGTTGTAGGTTTCTGTTAACTGTGTGTCATGTTGTCTTGATGTTTTCCTCAGGAGCTGTCAAAGCGCCTCGGGAAGCTCATCCAGGGAGAGATGGACCAGTACAACAGAGGGGTCATATTTACTCCAGCTTTTGTTGCTCGCCACAAGGCCAGGATACGGGGGCTTTTCAGCGCCATCACGAGGTGAGCGGCGTCGAGATATTTACACATCTGGCCTCGAGCGAGGGAGGGGAAAGTCACCAAGAGCAGGTTGAAGCAGTTAGTGGAAACTGAAAAAGTTTCTCATCCTTCGCTCCTGGTATCTGCTCCGTCTCAAGGTCCACCCTAAAATCTGGTGTATAGGACGCACTTTTAATACACATTATATTACCTGAAAAGTTGGCTGCGTCCTTTATACCAGTGAGACCAATATACCGCTGTAGGTACCAGATGTGCTCGGGTGTTCAGATCGACTTGGGGTCCTGAGCCTGCTAGTGAAGTCACACAATATGTACAGTGACCGCCCACTGATGATATGACATTTAGCACCAAAACAACATAAAAAAATGGAAAAAAGACAAAGGTACATGACTGTGTACATGATTGTCGTCAGAAGTAAAGGAACTACACATCCCACAATCCATTGCGAATGATATCGTGTCTTCTTAAGAGTAACTTTTGTCTTAATGCAAGTGTTGTACTATCTTGTAGTTTGTGTTGTGGTAAAATATAAACTACATTCACTGCGGCATGACATGGTTGTTAGGCTAGTACATTTCGTGTTAACTAACTAACTAGCTAGCTAGCCTTCTAGCAGACTTATCTGTTCGCATACGGCATCGAGGGGCAGGAAACATTGCCATGGTAACAGCAAGCTCAACCAATCAGAAACACTCTTGTATGACGTCGCTAGCCGAGTCGATCTGAACAGCCGAGCACATCTGGTACTTACACTGGTATAAAATGCTGACACACCCGCGCCATCGTCACTGAGAGGGCAGCCGCCACCATCCCCCACTGCACGCCACCTGAAATGTTTCTACTTGAATTGGACTCGGTTCATTGCTAGCTACCTGTGAGGAAACGTAGCGACACAGACCTGGCTGGCAGCACCACTTTTTAACTGCAGGGTCAGAGTGTTTTAACTTTGTGAATGAACTCTGTCCTCAAACTGTGCTTCTCATCTCTCATGCCCCGGCCTCCGTCTGAACAGTTTTATTATAACGGATTAAAACACGTTTCAGGGATTTATCAGAGTCCAACTTGTCTGAGCGAAGCTGAGAATGTAGTTCAGAGAGGTTTAGAGGAGATTACCAAACACGTCTTTCACCATGTCAAAAGCTCTTCTAATGTTTCACTTCATGCTCTCCTCCTGCAGACCGACCCCCGTGAGCAGCATGATCGGAGCGTTTGGATTCCAGGAGCATCTTCTCTACTGTGAGGAAACTGCTGTGACATTACGATAACATTGTTTTACACCGAACCAAAATATAAACACAACACTTTAGTTTATGCTCTAATATCCGACATCATGATGGGAAATCAAAGACCTGAAGCTCAAACCAAAGACATTTCACTTTATAGTGAATACACCGTTTCTACCTGACCTGTGCAGTTATCATTCCGTCCAATCAGCAACTTGATGTGCCGCACTTGTCAGGTGGAAAACACAGATTTAAACACACTAGTTAACACAATGTGAGGGAAAAAGGCTTTTTGTGTACATAGAAACAGTCTAAGATGTTTCATGTTATATTTATATTTTGTTGTATTTTAGTTCAGTGTGTATAATATTTATTTACATACAAGTCAAGTCCCGATGCGGACCAAGACTGGAAATTGGTCTGGTACCAAAGACGTAATCAGGAATAATTACTAGAGAAGCACATATTAGGTAAATTTAGGGTTGATACGGATAATGATGTTTGTTTTATGACATCTTTTGGTGTTTCCGTTCATCCATGTGGTGACACATCAGAAAAACTAGTTTCTGAGTTGTAAAATGATTGGATGAAGTCGGAACAACAACTCGGAAACTAGGGAAGGAATTTGATGCCTGACTTGATGTCATATTTGTCATCGCATGGGGGCAATATATCTATATCTATATCTATATATATATAACTTGTAACAGTGACGTTTCACACATCATCTTCTTTGTAGCGTCCACGCTGTTTGTTGTTGATGTCACAACATTCAGACTTTTAGAAATTGGAGCAGTATGAATGCAGCATAAGACTCCCACAATGCCAACAAATGTCACTGGTGTTTGACATGAAAACAAGTCCGAGTTTGTTTAAGAGGTGGCTAAATTGATTTAGCACGACAAATAAACATCAACCCCTGACATCAGGTCATGTCTGTCAACACGGCCGACGTTGAACCGATTCAGCGGTGCATCACTAATGTTAACTCAAATGTAAAAAAAAAAGTGATATTGGCAGAATGGCAGTAAAGCCCTGTTTTTAAAACTTCAGTGTACATACAGGCTTACATTGTAGTTAGCATGGATTAAGGGTTACATTAAAATGTGACTGCTCCTGAACTGTGCTTGATTAGATGTATTTCTTTATGACCCTATCTCTCTCTCTCTCTCTCTCAGCCGTCCTGGAGGAGTTGGTGAACACTGGACGCCTCAAAGGAAGTGTGGTTGGAGGTCGTCAGGACAAAGCGGTGTACATCCCTGACATTTACTCTAAAACACAAAACAGCTGGGTGGACTCCTTCCTGCAGCAGAACGGATACTTAGGTAAGACCTTGTTGTCTTTTACATTATTACTTTTGTTGAGGATGGTTTCCCTCTGCAGCGGTACATAAAGTTTCTCTGAGGAGTTAATGTAAGTTTCTCTCCACCACGTCGGGGGTAGAGTGTTTTAATCATCAAAGAAATAAGAAAAGCTTCTACTGTTTCATCATGTCTAAAGTTGAGGTCGGGGTATTTAGTTCATGTGTGTGTGTCTAAGTCTGGTTGTGCTCCCCCTGCAGAGTTTGATTCGTTGGTCAGACTGGGGATCCCGGACCCCCCCAGCTACATCAAGAAGCGCTTCAAGGCCAACAAGCTGCTGTTCCTCCGAGCCGCCTGCGTGGGTCAGACTCTGGTGGACCAGGTGGAGGCGTCTGTGGAGGAAGCCGTCAACTCCTCCACGTGGACTGATATACAGGTACACACACGCACTCACGCACGCACGCACGCACACACACACGCACACACGCACACACACACGCACACACACGCACGCACACACAACATCATCTTGTTGTTGAGGCAGCACCAACGATCTAGTTCAGTTAGTCGACTCGAGCTGCGCTGATTTCACTTTTTTTATTTTTTATTTTTTTGGTGCAATAGTGTGAGAAACTGGTGACATAAGCACGACAAATGAGGTACAAAAAAAAACAAGCGGAGGAGATTAGACGATACAAAACAGAAGAAGCGTAGGACAACAACGACAAAATACAATAATATAAACTAAAGAGAACAAAATACTGAGACATCTACGGACACACATCAACTGACTACAACTAGCAAACTATACGAAATACATACAGGTTACAAGAAGTGATAGAGAGAGGGGGAGGGGGAGGGGGAGATGGTGCTTTGTAAGGGGGACTTGAGAGGGAGAAGAGAGAATTGAGCAGTGTTGAATATGTTGATGTGTGTATTCAAGTTGTGGTGTGAGAGTTTGTGTAATGATTACACTGATTTCACATTTGACACTCACCTGACCACACCTCCTTCCAATTGTGACCTGCTCCTCTCTCTCAGCCCCCTCCTCACCAGCATCCACCTGTAGGCTCCCACTGGGGGGGGGGGGGTTAAGATGTCATCCCATCACTCTTCAAATATCTGCATGTAAAGTAAAGCTGTGAGAAGTGATGTTTTGCTGCAGTAATAAATATATCATAAGAATCATAAGAAATACCAATGTGAGTCGTCTGAATGTTCTCATTCTGTTGCAGCCGATTCTGCCCAGCTGCCTTTCAGTCGAGGACGTAGGGATACTGATAAACCAGGCTATGAGAAACACGAATGTTCAGACGGCAGCCCGAGTGCTGGGAGGGACGGTGGTCGTCAGCGAGAAGTTCATCAGCAACTGTCTGTCTGTGTTTGATGAGGGCATGCAGCAGAAGGCTCAGAAGGTAGAGCATCCTTTAACATACAACATCATGCAGAGAGTCGGGCGGTGTGACGCCTTGAAACACTTTGAAGTACACTTTGGTTTTTTTTCTGATTGGTCTCTCAGGAGGTGAAGAACAATCCAGTGTTTTTGATATCTGAAGACGATCTGAAGCAGTCGTCCATGCTGACGGAGAGCTCGGCACTTTCTAAAAAGGAGAAGAGAGAAGCAGAGCGCAGGAAGAAGGCTACAGGTTGGTTAACTCCTCCCTCCCCCCCAGAAAAAGTCAAATCTAGAGAAGAAACTAGACTTGCTTTATTTTCTGCTTCAGGTAGATGTCTGACCTTGTGTTCAGCCTAAAGAAGAATCCTAGTGCTCACTGACCTTTTTTAACTTTCTTGCTCAATGAAATAGAAATGAGCTTGGGGGGGGATTCAGGAGAGGCTGCATAATGAACCTCAAGCTCACAAGCTGACTATAATCCTGCGTCTCGTTAAATAAAAAACAATTAAAAAGGACAGTGTTGTGACTTTAAACACTAAGAAAGCAGCATTCTGCACGTGTCTCATGTCCGTCTGACACTCAGCACTTCATCAGGTTCATGAACTTAAAGGAAAGAATTAATGTTTGAGGCTTTTTCTTTTTTTAACAGAATTCGGACCGACAACTTTAAGGCTTGAGAACAGACCTACTGTTTATGTAATCTTTAATTTCTGCATGTGGAATAAAAAGCAATCAAACACCTCGTTTGAGATCAGTCATGCAGTTTGTGCAGTGGGAGCAGCTCAGTTCAGCTGTTTTCACATCTGCACTCCTGAAAATATCTAGATAGGGCAATGAATCCTGGCTCTGAATCTCACATAAACACCTGTGATGTTTGACTCTTGAGTTTTCTTGGATTATAAATCATCTGACGGCTGCTTTTGTCTCCCAGAGGGCAGCGGCAGCGTTAAATCAGGCGGGGGAGGAAACGCCAGGGAGTACCGGATCCGTAAAACCAAGAAGAAAGGGAGGAAGGACGAAGACAGCGACGAGGAAACAGGACCTTCACAGCAAAGTAAGAGTGTCTCCATGTGCACATTAACTCTGTTCACTGAGCTGTTTTACTGTAACAGGAGTTTAATGGCTGGTTGGCCACAAAGCTCTGCTCTGTGCTGTTAAAGCCTTTCTTTTAGAACTGTAGGTATCCCTTTGAGACTAATTAGCCTGTGTTTTACCTCTGCTAAGATCGCAGCAAACAGACTGCGGCCCCCTTTATGGCCAGGAGGAGATCGTCGCAGTTTTAGAGGAGAGAGTGAGCGACTGCCCGAAGAAATCCTCTCAGAGCTGGCAGAGCATTTAGTCAGGTAAGTGGCTGCTTCTGCACAGCGGCATGTTTCTCTGTTATCACACAGAATAAAGTGTATTCTCTTAACCGTCCATGTCTCTGCAGGCCTCTGAATAAAGCCTATCAGGAGGTGCTGCGGGCCGTGTTCATGTCCTCCAGCAGCTCTCCGTCAGGGGCCAACAAGAAGAAGAGCATGAAGGAGCTTCAGGAGGAGATCACACCATACTAAACAACATCCGACTCTTTGAGAAGGGGACCAAGTTCTTCCTCTGGTGAATGCTGCCACCGTGCAAATATGACCGATAAAAGCCTTTAAAGATGGAGTCAATAGATTTGTCCTGACTAAATATTAAATATAGACTTATACTAACATAATGATGCTCAATCATCAGTTCTGGGTCCTCATTCATGTGTGGTGGTGACTGTGTCTGCAGAGACTCTGTCCTCTGACTGGATTTTCATGTTCTGGTTTGTTTGGGTTGACTCTGGAAGTTTCTGGAGGGGGAGCTGATGTGTTTCCTCCAGCCAATGACAGCATAGCGGCAAAATATATTTTGGGGGTCATTTTAGCCTTTATTGGATAGGACGGCTGAAGAGAGACACGAAATTGCCGCTGCAATGAGGATTAAATTTTGGGTTCTGAATGACCAATGGCTGGTACAGTACATCTTT